AAATGATGTTAAATCGGTTCGAGAGCTTGTTTTAATAGCGCCACTGTAAAACAATTTTGGCTCACCCAATGCATTAGCCCGCGCGGGGCTGGGGTCTCCAGCCGAACGCGCGGGGCTGGGGGATAAATTTTACCCCCTGTTATCTCCCGAACTAATGGTCCGATTTGGAAAATTCAAACGCCAATCGAAAGATCTCATCACGAATAACTAAAAACATGTACCTAATTTAAAGTTTGAGGTGAAGGTCAAGGTCAGGTCAAGGGTACAAATTGCAAGTTTCTACACTATCGGCCTTGCACCGTAGTTGCTGAAGAATGGAGTCATGGACTGAGACTGATTGCCCAAAACGTGTTTGGGCCTGACCTTGGCCATAAGTTTGGCAGGCCAGATTTTGTACTGGACCATTTTGAGTCAACTTTGAGAAATACATAACGTACAACGGTGGTAAAATCGTTGCTATAGGTATAACACAGTTTACCCGCTCCGGGTGTGAGGGAGGGGTGTGGGGCAATGAGTGCACTGACATGGCGCCCTCGGAGGGCCGGTATGGGATTAAAGCTCAGCTACACTAAGGGCTTGTGTGGTGCCTTCAGTTATCGGTGGCACCCTCAGAATCACCGGCGTAGGGCCCTCAGAGCCGCCGGTAAGGGTGGCACCGGTGTGGGGCCGCCATGCAGGTGCCGGTGTGGGCGATCAGAGGTGCTAGTGTGATTCTCTCAGAGGCGCCGATGAGGGTCCTTACAGGCGTTGCGCCGGGCCCTCATAGACGCTGGTGTAGAGCCGTTACAGACGGGTGTGGGACCTTTAGAGCTGCTGACGCGAACTCTCTACAAGCCGGCAGGGGGTCTCAGTGACCGGCAAGAGGTCCTTAGGGCCTAAGGCTTAGGCCGGCAGAAGAAGTCCTGCGGGGTCCTAACTCCTAAGAGACCGGCATGGTACTGTCAGACGCCGGTGGGCCCTCAGGGTCACCGTTGTGGGGCCCTCAGGTCATCAGTGGGTGGCCTTTAGATGCGCAGGTGTCGGGTGGGTCCTCAGAGCCGCCGATATAGGGCTTTAATAGGCACTGGTGTAGGCACTCGGAGTTGGGGGTGTGAAACCCTCAGAGACACCGGTGTGGGCCCTCATAGGCACCGACGAGGGCCCCATAGTTGCCGTTATGGGGCCCTCAGAAAAATAAGTGTGGGACCATCACAGGTGGGAAATGCCCCTAGAACTGTCCCCTCATAGGCCGGTAAGACCTCTCAGAGGCCAGTAACCGGCCTTTGGACTTTGGAGACAACCGAGGTGTCCTTAAAAGCCACAAGAGGCCCTCAGAAGTCGGCGTGGGGCCCTTCTGGAGACCTTAGTGTGGCTATTTAGGGCCCATGAGGTGCTCTAACGAGCCCCACGGGGCCCTTCTGAGTAGAAATATGGCCATCGTTAACCCTCAGCGGTCAAATGGCGCCGCAGGGCCTCTCGGACCCGAGGGTCCCTTTGAACCCGATGGGGGGGGAGGGGGTACGTGTCCCCTTAGACCCCTAGCTATGCCACTGTTTCATTTGCATCATGTCAGGTATTTTAGGCTCGCCACCCCCCCCCCCCCAACTTGAAAATCGTTCCCGGGCCCCTGATAATATCATATGTAATGCTAACACAAATATCATGCATCTTAATTTGTGGTGATTTATTCAATGTATGTTCTCTTAGTCACTGAATTGAGTAAGTATAGTATTTGCATGATTCACTGGGCTCATTACAGTACCTACTAGGAGATGGACATTCTGATTATCGAGGGCCTTGAGTCAGCTGGGAATGTTTTGAGGAGGCTGGGGGTGCTTTAAGAAGGCAGGGGGTGCTGAGCTCAGGATTGGGGGTGCTTGAGCACCCACAAAGAGATATAAAGTTACGCTTATGGACTCTCCGTTCAACATTTCTCGCCTGTCTTGGTCTTGTTCCTCCTCTGTTCTACAGCAGCTCGCTTATCTCATAGCTCATCCTTAAGTCCTGCACTTTATTCCAAACGTCCTCTCATTTTCACACCTCCCATCCTATCCTTCGCTGCACCTCTTGCGCTCCGCCTCTTGCACTGACCACTCCGGCACCACACACGGCCTCTCGCTATCCAGCTGGTGGATATAAAAAGGTTCATTAGCGCACCGGTCCGTGACCTGAGGTCCAGTCCAGTCGAGCGGTCGACCTGCTCGCAAACTGCAGCATCACCCACTGGTGATCGCAGCACTTTCACTTCTTTATCGATTTCCCTTTGTTTTTGGATGCGTAGCGGATGCAGGGTGTCATTAGGGTCATTAGTGGCCACCGGAAAGTGTCGCAGGACATGAGGTGGGCAAGTGGGTCGTCGCGGTGGAATACGGACTCGCTTTGGGTGAACTTCTCACGTTGTCCGTAAAATGAAGCACATTCGATTCGTACACTTGCATGCATTATGGGTCTGACTGTGATTGTTGATCGAATATTGATGTTTAGTGGTAGATAGGTACTTTTTATTTTTCCCGTCATTTTATTCGTATGTGTTACCGTTTTTTCATCTCAATTCTCTCACCTCATTTCTCTTGCATCTTTGCCTCGATTTTCACTGCTTCCCTCCCCGCTGCTCGCCTTCCCACTCCACCCCTCTCCTCTCCTCTCCTCTCCTCTCCTCTCCTCTCCTCTCCTCTCCTTCTCTCCTCTCCTTCCGTTCAGAATTGCTGACACTACCATACAAGGACAAAGACGAGGTCTGGCTGCAGACACCATCCGCGATAGAATACAAGACTCTTCTGCTGACGCCGTGGCGACCTCAGGGCAAAAGAATGGATGTCACGACCCAACCACACCGATTGTGAAAATTGAATGACCGCTGACTGGATGCTGTGGCATGCGTTCATTTACCGTTGGAGGGTGATGATACTGGATGTCTTGCAAGAGAGAGCATCCGTAGTTTACGACCGATTTCAGCGCAGCAGGAGTGTGAGCTAGCAATCGTGACTTCGTGTTTCGTGCCACTTGAAGTCGGTACTTTATTTCTTGGCACGTGCCAGGTGGCATTTCCTTGCGTGACTGAGCTGTCGAATTCTTTTGGAGAAGTTGCCCTCGGGTGGCCCACATAACAAACCCCAACATGACGCAACATTGTCTCACGAAAAAGAGTGACAGTTATCCAACACCTTGACCAACTAGTCGCTGATCTGGGAGCCATCGGAGGCTGTAACGGCATCTCAGCACGGCAGCCACCAGCTGCATGGAGCTCGTGATGGCGGCATCAGATGCAGGCGCGTCACGCCCGGGTCTTTTTATTCGGTACCGTGGTCTGGCACCGTGCCAACCAGTGGTAGGTCAGTGATGGAGGGAGTTTGGTACGGAGAGGAGATGAGAGTTAACGGATCGTGCGGTCCTCAGCTTTGTAGGTTATTGGTAGCTGTTCTAAGTTGGGTTTTATTACGGAGCGAGCGAAGCGAGCGGAGTCTTTCCTTAGATTAACGGAAATTTCTGAGTATGAGCGGCCGGCCGGCCGGCCGGCCGGCCGTGCGGACGCTTTTGCGAGGCTTATATCTCAGCAACCACTTGACCGATTTACATGCGGTAATTTTTGTAGGGTAGCTTCATTCCTTCTACCAAGTATTGGACTATTCCCGATGCATGTGGGTGACCCCTTATGCACGTGCCACGTGCAAAACGAAGAGGTGTCAGTTTTGCAATTGTTGCAATATCTCGGTAACTACTTGGCCGATTGCGCTCAAAGTTGGCATGTAGGTAGGCACCCACTAGGCACTGCATATCCATGTGCCAGAGTTGGGGTGCTGCTGCACGTGCGCACGTGCAGGGGTCGTTTCCAGATCTCGAGAACGGCTCGACCGATTGCGCTCAAATTTGGTACACAGTTTGGGACCGGTTAGTAGGGTGCCGTGCACAAGTCAGTTGGGACCCATTTTGCACGTGCGCACGTGCAGGGTGCCGCTTCCAGATCTCGAGAACGGCTGGGCCGATTGTGCCCAAATTTGGCACATCGCTAGAGACCGGTTAGTAGGGTGCCGTGCACAAGTCAGTTGGAGGTACCCCCTCGCAATTTCGCACGTGCAAGGCCCACCCTCTCGCTCGCTCCGTTAGTCGCCCCATAAGGCGTTATACTGGTCAGTTAAGTTGAGCTACCTTCCATGGTTAGTTCTCTGAGATCTCTATTTTAGGAATGATAAACACCTCAAACGCCCCTGAGATCTTCATTTCCTGACGTTCGGGCACCCTATAGGAATTCCTAAACGTATCACGTCTACAGGACTTAAATAGTAAAAATATCTTCGCTCCTATCGAAGTATGGAAGCGGATGACTGTTTTATGCCGCCCATTTTCCATCAACTTTGTATGGTGTTTCGTTGGCATTTCGCTCATCGGTTGCGGCTCCATGCTTTGTTGAAGTCTCCTCTCGCTCGTTCTCAATGTCTACTGCCACCTTGGTTTGTCGTGTGTTGGGACTTGTCTCCTGAGCGCTTCGTGTTTCGGGTCTGGCTTAGCTATCCTCGGGTCTTCTGTGTCCGCGTCTCTGCTCCGTTTTTCTGGTGCAGTATTGTCTCTCCGTGTCTCGCTATGTCTCGCTAGGTCTCCAAGTGTCTCTCGCTCCGTCCCCCTAGTATAGTATCGTCTCGCTATGTCTCGCAGTGTCTCCCAGTGTCTCGCCGCGTTTCCCATTGTCTCCCCATGCCTTTTGCACCCTCTCCCCATTGCAGTATCGTCTCGCCGTGTCTCATGGTGTCTCGCCGTGTCCCTCATCTCTCAGTCTCTCCCGTGTTTCTCTCGCTCCGTTTCGCCAGCGTCGATCGCGTCTGTCACGCCGGGTCGGGCACCGCCAGCCGGGTCGCCTTCACATGATCCACGGGGACGCCGGCTGGCTGCCACCTGGCCCCTTGGCTCCGCCCCCAGCGAACCCCGAACGCCGAGCCCGAACGCCACCTGCCGCCCCTCTGGCGTGACGTCACTATGACGTCACGACGGGCAGCGGGGCGGCTGAGGTCTAGCGCGGCGCGCTCGCCAGTCCGCTGGGTCGGCGAGCCCCATGTGGACAGAGGGAGGGAGCGTGGAGAGAGAGACGGTGCGAGAGAGAGGTGATCGTGGACTGGTGATCGAGTGGGCTGAGTTTGGAGTTGTGAACCTCACTGAGTGAGTTAGTGGAGTTGGAAGTTGGATTTCTGGACTTTGTGGTTGAAGAGGATCGAGGATGATGAACTTGGTTGATCTCAGCTGAGGGCACCGATCGAATAAACCTGAAGGTGAGTTTCATCGGTACGTGGATACCCGCTCTCAAGAATGGTTTGTGCGTGGATACCCGCTCTCGAGAATGGTTTGTGCGTGGAAACCCGCATGCAAGAATAGGTTCCACGTGAAACCTCGCCGGAAGAAATTGTTTATGCGTGAATGCCAAGCTCGAGGGAATCGTTTGCTTATGGATAATAGCTCGAGCGGCTGGTTTGCTGATATTTGCATCGTACTGTTTTTCTACTGGTGCTAATTTGGCTTTGATCGTCAAACGTGAGCTCACATATTGGTTTTTGTTGCATGCAGTCTTTTGGAGAAGCTTTTGAAGCATTTGTTTATTTTTCTGTTGATGCAATCGGTAGATTAACTGCACAGTGTCTTCATTCGGGTTGTAATTGTTTCCTGAAACTTTTTCAATCAGAATAACCGAGCCTTGCTTCCTTCCGTTTCTTTTCGTGCAACACTGACTTGCATCAAATCTACCCTCATCAATAGTTCTCTCCAATCCCAAACCTCGACTCGTGAGAGTCACCGCTCTCTCACGACTCACGACTTGCGGGAGACTCACGATCTCAAACTCAGCATTCAAACTCTCTTCGCCGTGCACAATTTGCCAACCTCCGCTCGTGATCACATCTATTCTCCATCGTCGTTGGCCCTATCTCGAGCCTTTCCCTTCGTCTATTGCGGGTTGCGACGGACGTCGGACAGCTTTTGTCAACCTCGATTATGCAGTGTCTAACGTCGAGCTCGACTATGCTGTACCCTTGTCGACCTCGACTATGCGGTGTCCGATGTCGTGCGGGGAGAAAGAAGCGGCTAATGTTGCGCGCCAGATGTGCAGATGACATGGCGTCTGCTGCGCCGGAAATGTCCTTTTTGCGCCGGCTCTGTCCGCATTAGCGGACCGGATGGAGGACTCTCGGAGGCGGCAGACCTCTTCAAGATGAAGAATCAGCAGACGAGAGGCCTCCCTCAGGAGAACTCCACTAGGCGTGGGATCTCCCATAGGTGGAGACGCGAAGAGGTTATATAGGAGGCAAACCTCGCCTAATCGACCGATACTGCCTTGGTTGGAGGAAGGCTTGAACTTTTCCTTCGTGGTGGTGTTTTTGTTTTTTAGGTTTTGGTTATTTTAAAATCGTGACCACCTTTTAATCTGCCCGCATGGTTATATTGCACAAGGAAGAGTTTATATTGCACAAGGAACCTATTCATTCGGTTGAATGTAGACGTTAAGTTTAGACAAAGCGTTAAACCGTAGTACCTTATTCATACTCTACTAACGGATGCTATCCCTGTCCCTCGCTGCTTCTCTCAGCACCGTACCCCCGTGTCACTTACTCCTTCATTACACCATCAGCCAAGCGGCGGCGTCTCCCGACTGACCAGGACAGCCGAGTCTGGAATCTGTCCTGCCGCCGAGGTTGTCAGGATATGTACGCGTCTGCCACCGCTGATGCTCCTGCCGCCCGCGACGATGTCGCAACATTTGTCTCGGAGATTCCGGCCACACAGAAGTATACATACATAGATAAGAGCGCGGTATTGGTCTGATTAGGCGTCCAGCTGCTGGTTGTGCAACGGTGCTGTACTATCACTGAAGTCAGGATGGCTGAGCTGAGTTTTATCTGGGCTACTGATGGTCATTTATCTCTTTCTGGCCTTTGGTCGTTATCTTTGCGTCCTGCGTCATCGGCTCGCTCGCTTCTGTAGGTCCTGGAGAACCTTCTGAACCACGATGGGTGTTCTTAGTTAATAGTTATGCGGCTGGCTGGAGGTGATAACTTTATCTTGTTTGCTGACGCACTGGGAGTTGGACTTTGCGCCTGCAGTACTTCTTCGAGCAATGGTCACTTGAGTTTCGTAATAGGACAGGATGTGACATGTTTCATTACGAAGCACGCTTGCCAGCGAATGTTGCTTTCGCTCGTCCCGAGTCACCGGTATTGTAGGGATTTCTATTGTAGCGATTTATAGGGATTTCTCTTAGCTTGCAGGTGTATCGAAGACAGGGCTGAAATGCGTTCTGACGCAGACATTGACAGACAATTTCCAGTCATTCTATTTTCTTCCCATTGCACACTGTTCACCACTTGATAGCTGAAGACTGACTTCACCCACCTCCTGCTAGTGTTTATCATGAATGTTCGGCATTCTATTGCTATATTTCACCAATCACTGCGCAGGACAATCCTGAGTTCTGTGTAGATCCACTGGAGTCCAGACTCAGTCACATCGCACTGTGGAGTCTCAGACACGACAAAGAACCAAGCCGAGCGGCCGGTAGAGGTGCCAGTCACCCTCGTGCAACGGTCTGGCCTCGTTCCGGCCAAGGCGAGGGCGAGGCGAGGGCGAGGGAGAGGAAAGGGAAGAGCGGGACAGGTGAACGAGGGGCGAGGAAGGACTTAGATGAAAGAAGGAAAGAGGGCGGAAGGGAAGGAATGAATATTTGGCCATGACAGATGTGCCGATATAAGACGGTTTGAAACGGATTTGGCGACGAGTTCCTTTCTTTAGAGATTGGCTCTTTCTAATGGCTCCCATCCATTCTCTTATACCATTAGGAATTGTACTTGTATGGTAATTTGTGTGGTAAAAGTACACGGTGGTTTATGACTATCTTCTGCATTGCGACCTGCAAAGCACGTCAGGAATGCCAGAGCTGCAGCCGAAGCTATTGCCTCAGCCCTCAACCAAACATCCATCTTATCGCCGGCCGTGCTGAACCCTTCTGCACCGGACCGGTGACGTCATAAATCGTACCAGTGACGTCACCAGTCCCAATGACGCCGCACCGCTGGGCGAGGTGCCAAATGGGGCGCACACGGGTCGTTTTTGCCGCTTGTTCCGGCCACAACACGGCGAGACAAGAAGTGTTCGCGGTCTCCGGTGCAGGGATGCAGTGGGGGGAGAGGGGAGGGGTGGCTGGTAGACCGCCCCAGGCGATGCATAGGTCATTGGGTAACCTGATTGGGCGTGGTCGAGGCTACGATAGGGAGGGGCTGTTTGGTTTAGGATGTGTTTATTCCTTAGGGTATTGTTTGAGTGTTTGGTCATGACAGGCCTCGAAACCCAATGTTTCCATTGTCGCGCTAGTACAATGGTATAGTGTAGGTATAGTGAATTTGACACCTTTAGTAACATACCTTGGATGTTCCATTTCTCCCCCTAGTTTTATTATATAGAGTAAGCTTCATAGGTACGGGTCAGGCTAATGCCAACAAAAATCGTTCAACGTTTGTCTCATTCCTTTTACCAAAGCAACTTTCATGCTTTCATCTCCGATCGTCAACATTTGCCGTGTTCCCATTGGCGCGCGTGGCGCTCGACCGCCGCCCTATCGCCGACAGCGTCGCTACTGTGCCTGATGACGCCGCGCTGATGACGCAGTGCTGACGAGGCTCTGATGGCGTCATCACTCTATCCGCTGACGTAGAGGCGCACTGTGCACTGGAGCGCGTGGAAGCGTGAAATCGATTAGCGGAGGCGCACTGAGCGCTAGCCAGGAGAGTGATCCGGAATGGTCGAGAAAGCCCCGAGATTGCCCCGAGGCATCACGGTGTGGTGATAGGCGCTGGGATGAGGCATTAGGGCGAGTCTGCGATCAGCATTGGCTAATGCGATGGATCATTCGAAGGGCTTTATTCCGTATTTCTTCATGAGACCGTGTCTTTTTTGCATTCTTATTTTTTTCTTAAATATTTTTTGTTGATCTGTCTGGAGACATCTGCTCATGCGGCTGAAATTTCGTCATGACAACTCCGCTGACATATCGAAAGTTTTACAAATAAGTACTCCATCCATGCATTTGATTCGCCGATTCGCCGATTGCATCTATAAGTTATGACGCAACCGTCTCTCCTAAATATGGAATAATGCCGTTTTTATCGATTCACCGTAGTGACCGGCTCCCTGCAATGGTTGCGCCTATTTCCGCTATATTCCTCACACAGCACCTACCCATAGCACTATCCTCATTTCGCCATCTATGCCTCGTCCGATCTGGCCGTCTCTTTCTGTTCCGACATTGATTAACGCTCACTCGCCGTCACTGCGTTACGACGTTGATTAACGCCCGTCAGGGACTCGTTGGCTCTGATTGGCGAATGGATCACTTCCCCACCAGTGACGCATCTGCATTTTCCCGACTTTTCCGAGGGACGACGATGGCGACGATGTCGTCGATATAGTGCGACGGCCAGTCTCAGATGTATGGGCAATGGGCATAGAATAAAATGTGAGAGTATTGCTTGGCAAGTGGAGCGTGAATGAAAAGTGAAAGTCGTGTTGCACTTCTGCAACCGTATGCTAATAAAAGATGGACATCTGTCGATCCGAAGTGAACGTCATTTACCAGCCCTCACCTTTCCACCTCCACATCCCGCCAAACTTCATTATTTACCTCCTCCCCACCCCATTGACCTCGCCACCATTGAGTTTTACCTGTACTCTGGGAGGCGTTGAGCTCCTCAGTGTGAACAGACGAACACCTAACAACCACATCGTCATCATCATTGTTCTTCTTCCTGTAACGTTCACCTATTTCTGTTCGCAGAGGTGCGCCATCAGGCGATGAGCAGCGGCGAGCTGCCGCCCAGCCACTCATCCTCCGACGCAGACATGGCCTTCCAGGCCTTCGACACTGCTTACGGAACTAGCGACGACGGCCTCCTGGAGGGTCTTGGGTCTCGTCTGATGGACCGGCCTCTAGAGGGAAGCGACTCGTCTGGGGGTGCGTACCGGCCGTGGGAGTCGGCCGAAAGACCGGAGCCGGGTCACCAGCTGAGTTTCGGTGCCTATCAGGGGTTCTCGTCTCCGCCGCCTCCGCCGATGTCTGGGCCAGGACCGGTGTCAGGGTTTGCCACACCACCAACCGGAGGAGGAAGCCCGCTCCCTGGCTTCAACACGTTGCAGCAGTCTGGAGCGTACCCACCGCTACAGACGGCCCCCAGAGAGATGGATGGGTTTGATGAGCGCGTGGCGGCGTTTTCTGCGGCATCCGCAGCGTCATCGACATCAACGCCCGTCCCTTCGTCGATGTCGATGTCTTCGATGGCGTCAACGGCGGCGACGGTTAGCGCGCCGTCCCACGTCGGGGCCGTGTTCAGTCCGGCGCGCATGGCGACGTCGCCACGACACTTCCGACAACACGGTCAGGACGCAACAACTCCCATTCTCACTCAGCTCGAGCCAAAACGCGCCCAGAAGCGTCCGTTCGAGTCAACGGTTCCTTCGCTTCCTGCGACCGTCGACACGAATCGCCGCGACGACGACTCATCTCCTCGACTCGAGCCATCGGCGCAAGTAAGCTCCGTCACTTCAAGCGATCTGCTGGACGCCAAGCCAGCTTACGCTTCGCCCATGTCTCAACCTCAATCAGAACCGACTCCTTCGGTCAACATGTCCGAGAAGCCGCCGAAGAAGAAGCGGAAACGTTGCGGCGACTGCGTTGGCTGCCACACGAAGGAGAACTGTGGGTCGTGTGCGCCCTGCAAGAACGAGAGGAGTCATCAGATCTGCAAGAGCCGCCGCTGCGAGACCCTCGTGGAGAAGAAGGTAAGGAGCGCTTGGGATGGTGCGCTGGGAAACGGGTGGGTGGTGGTGTCCTAGTCACTGTCAGTCTGTCCGTGATTGTGTTGTTGTTCGAGTCTGTGACGTCTCGTAGTCAATGCTAGGGGTATTGTTATCATCCTAATCATCCTGAAGCACATGAGGCACACACAAAGAACAAGGAAATACGGCCTTCGGCAAGGAGGAGTCGTTTTGATTTGCTACGCTTCGTCATATTGGTCAAAGCTTTCCAAAATATAACACTAGCAACTAGCAAGAAGATGTCAAAGCTTCTTTTTACATACGGTCTGGCTAAAGTGCCTGCCGTTTAGGTCTAAATCAATTTCGAGTCTCGCCCGGTCTCTACCATGGCAATGGATGATCCGTCGTTGACTATCCGACACCCAGTATGTGCGTCTTTGTTCCGTTGTTCTACGGATGTCGAGATATATCGACCTCACGAAGCAGGATTAGTAAGGGAGGTCGGATGATCAGCCAACGGGCTGCAACATTATACACTGAGTAGCGACAAGCATCGTTTGTTGTGCCCAGATAAATTGGATTTTAAGAAGAAAAGCGATTAGACAGCTTTTAATAAACGGAATAGGATAAGGATTGTAAGGTAAGGCTTTCGCGATGCAGCTGAGTTTTGGTAGCTTTCGGTTCCAACGTTTTCTTTATGGGATGCCCAATGCCCAGGCTTTTATTTGTTGTGCTTTGCATGCATTTTATGTTTGAGTTATCCGTTTCACCGTTTTGTTGCTGTGCACCGCTTTTTATCGCACCGCATGTATCGTATCTCACCCTTCGCACCAGCCGAAAGCCGCCCAACCGACGCCGATACTGGGGGCGCAAGCACCGTTGCAATACCATTGCGAAGCGCCCCAATGATCGGTGGAGGTTAGGCGGTGTGGGCGCGAGCCGGGACGACAGAGGTCGGCTGACCCGCCGGCTTCTCTGTCCCCAGCGAACGCCTAGCCGCGCACGCCGCGCCGAATCTCAGGAGCCGCAGTCGTCTAGCGGACGGGACAGCGAGGTAGGTTGGCCGCGCCTCGCCCCGCCCGGCACGAGCACTCAGCAACGCTCTGCACGCTTTACTTCGACACCCCCGTCCCGTGCAGAGCAAACACCTTCGACAATCCCACACAGAACGCACCCTGATACTCCCTGCTCAAGATTCCCTGGCCCTCAACGCCTCGGCCCAGCAGATCATGATATCCATCAACCCCCAACGTATTTAGCAGCATCTCCTCAGCAAGTCCCTTCAGTGAAGTTCTCACTAGCATAACGCGCTCAATTCTCACCTGCTAGGTAGCTCTGATCAGGGCCCGGTAGGATGAGCTGCAATGACCACTATACTAGCCTTGAGCCTCCGACGACCGCGACTGTAGTTCGTTGGCATGGTCCTTTGTTTGCAATGGCCGGATCGCAACCGGAACGCGATTATTTTCCGTTTTATTTTGCGCTGAATTACCTTTGTTTAGCGTAGTTTTGTGTGGACAAGGTCGTCTATGAGATAGCGATCGTTTCACTACACATTCTGCCACTGGGACGACCCTCCTTTCCTTCCCCTCCCGCGGTTTAATTCTTCCACCCTCCCCCGGTAGCCACACGTCGTGCGCGCTCCGTCTGCCCTTCGTTCCGTTATCCCCACCCGGTGTGGGATCTCCCCTGTCGGTGTGCGACCCTCCCTCCCTCCCCTTCCTCCCTAACCTCCCCTCCACGCCCCGGGGCACAATCACAGCCGGACTACACCCAGGTGTTGGACGGGACCAAAGTCAAGGACACAGCGGTGGGTCAACCAGCGGAACCATCACTATGGGATGCGGCAGTATGTCCACGGACAATGGCCACAGATACGATCTCGACGACAGGGGACGGGACATGACGTCAGGGCGCTCGTTTCGCCTCAGGGGATGTGGTATGTGCACTTTGTGCAGTGTGCAATGACTGTGCAGTAAATGTGCGCGTATCGAAGGGGAATTATGAGTTGCATGATGATACCGTTTTCAGGGGGTTTGCCTCCGAGGATCAATGGGTCCGGACCCCCTCTCAATAATTTCACTTCCGTAACGCAGCCTAATGTAAAAGAATGTGCATTTTTGGTCAAACCCCCCAATCCTGAAACCGTGGCGGAGCCCCTGGAGCCAGGAACTCCTGGAACTGGAGCTCCTGGAACCGCCAGGAGCTTCGCCGAAGCTCCTCGCGGTTTTGGCCGTCCTTTTCTGACGCAAAGGAAACCTTCAAACTTCTGATTACATGGATACTGTTTTTGCCATCAAAGTCTCGCCCTCGGAAAATATTTGGTCATAGATGCTTTACTCCGAAACTTGAGCTAGATCTTAGTGTTATCTCTCATCAGGTGATGCTTTTGTTCAAGGGGCTCTTTTTGTATCTTGAACAACTTGAACGGCAAATTTCAACCCTTCTTCACATTCAAATCAATGCGGATGGCGCAGTTGACATGCTGCGACAGCAGTGTTACACAACGCTGGCACACCACATGCAAAGGGAAGGGTGAACCGCACAGAGGGCTGTCAACATTCACAAAGGGAGGGGCGTCGGTGCAGAGGGCATCTAGTGGTCGGACGTTTAACCGTTGGGACGGCCATGTTCCATGTCGTGACGAGCCGATGCCGTATCACCCAGGTCGTGACCAGATACCCGTCTAGTCGGCTGCGATGGACGATGTTCCCCTCGCTTCGCCGCCGTGCGGACGCCAGTGTCGTTGTTAGAGGGGGTGGGGTGGCCAAGGGGGCGATGTGGGGCGTCATGTGTGACATTGGTGTGGTGATGGTTGCAGAGGGGATGGTGAAAATTCGTGGAACTTTGATAGGAAGGGCGTGGTAAACCGAGGGTGTGGTCGATGAGTGGGGAATTTCGTTGGGATGCCTTTCTGTCCCAATGAAAGTTTAAATAACTCTCCTTTTACCCTCTCAAGGTAGTTAACTACACTCCGACTAACCTGCACAGCTGGTTGGAAGAGATAACCGAGTACCAGTCCCGTGTTGATCTTACCCGGTGTTTACCGTCGTTTATCTAATTGTTATCGTAGTAGTTTTTACCGGAACCCTTCCGGCGCCTGGTTGCTAACTGTGAGCGGATATTCTCCTGTGGGAATGTCTCACTTTTCTTGGCCATCCAGTCGAATAAATGAGGTCAAACGCTTCTTTGCGGCCGTGTGGCGCCTGGGTAGGTTCGGATCATGCGTCGCCACTATTATTCTTCCTTTGGAAGCGCGATTCTGGCTGTCATCAGTACCTTTAGACTAAACTGGGTCATGCTCTTGGCCTGTCTTCTGCTATCGCGACGAACAACCAGCGATGACGTCATATCATAGTGACGTCACGCACCAATGACGTCCGCGTGCGTTTGGGTTGCATCACTCAGTCAATATGTCGTTAGCGCGTGTGAAAAGCTGACGCGCGCCAGTCTCAGCACGTGCTCTGAGCGCGCGCTGTCCAGGGCCTTCAGTGGAGCGGATCGGACCTCACTGGCGCGGCGCGGACGCGTGTCCGGTTTTGTTCTGATTGTCACTCTGAGCAGAGTAGGCCAGTGACGTAATTTGTGCCGACACGGCGACTTCACTGCTGTCTGATGGAGCGTGACCTCCTGAGCGTGACATGTCGTAGGCTTTCTCTGCATGGCCGCGCTCAGGGTTTAGATATGCAGCGATTATTGGTCCTAATCAAAACTCCATCTGCTTTTAACAGCACTTACTCTTGTTCTTATACTTAGTTCTCTTCTAGAGAGTTTGTCCCCAACAGCTGTCGTTTTCATAAAATTTCCTTTTACCTTCCCTGCAGCTCGTCGCTTCCTCTCTACCTCTTTCCTTTCACCAAGTGCTCTCAGAGCTTTGCAGCCTCATTTCCCTTCTCTCCTCTCTCTTGCATTCCATTCTGACTCTGCAGGCAGCAGCCTCCCTCCATATTGATTTGATGTTGCTATCCAGTGTGAACCACCAGCCATTAATGTCCGGCTATGCGTTACTGCCGACGCTTCTCTGCCGCTTATTAAGCTACTCTGTTCACGCAGACTCTCAATTATTCTATCGCGGTTCCCATCGTCTTAGCCATCACTACGGTGTTGCCTCACTCTTGTGCCCTGAGGGCATACTGTTGCTCATATGTCTGCGGTGAGGTTAATTTGGTTCATCATCATATACCAACGGAGATGTTCTTCTCTTGCTTGTTATCGCTCCCTGCAGGATCGGTGTTATAAATTGAGACCATCGCGCTCTTTAAAAGGCATTCTTATGCTTGGTTTCACTGCGTATTTGCCTATTTTACAACGCCCATATCATTTTATAGATCAATTGCCACAGCCTTTCTATCCGGCCCTCTTCCAGGATAATGATGTCACATCATCCTCTGATCACTTTTTATATCGGTTGCTTCATTTTCAATGCAATGTTTACATCTTTTGAAACTGATGAATCATCTCCGCCTTCCCATTGTCTTTTATCTTTTATTTTTTCCTCACATCATCGTTCCATCCCTATCCTCTACTTTTATCTCTACGCTCTTCTCTCTCTCTCTCTCTCTCTCTCTCTCTCTCTCTCTCTCTCTCTCTCTCTCTCTCTCTCTCTCTCTCTCTCTCTCTCTCTCTCTCTCTCTCTCTCTCTCTCTCTCTCTCTTTTCATTCCTATATTAATCACCCGTATATCCTTTTGCTCCGATCTCCTTTCTAAACGCCTCCCCCTTCTCTTTGCCTGCCAGTCGTCTCTCACCACCTCCACCACCACTTTGACCTCCTGTTCTGTTCCCCGTACTACACAGTGCGGCATTTCCGTTCCGCGCCGGCGCCGTTTATGGCGCGCCGCGGCAGTTATGGCGCGGCGTCTGGCGCGCGTCGTTACCGCGCGGGTCTGCACGGGGCGCGTGGTGCGCAGTGCGCACTGCGCAGCACGTGCGGCCTGCACGGGCGGGGTGCATAAAGATCAATGTGCCGGATGGGAGAGCGAATGGCGGTGGTGGCTCTTATCCTGGTCTGTGGTGACAAGAAGGTGCTTGGATGAGATTCATTGATAAATATTGAACAAATTACTTACAAAAAAAAAATTAATTGACATCTTCTTGTTACTTGTTACATAAATCTTTCTTTTGGATTAATTAGATTATATCCCAGCATGAATTAACTAATAATAGGTACCTTAATAAAGTATTCCCATGCGTGGTTTGTTGCTGGCATTTCCGATTTATTGCGTAACACCATCAATCACCGACATTCGGCCAGTCACTCTATTATTGACTACATTTCACTATCCCCTTATTGTCTTGCACAACAATTCATTATTGCAGCCCGTTGCACCAGGCATCGCCAGCTCATATTATAAGCGTCTTTTTTCGTGTCTTCGACCATTCATTTAGGATATAATATGCGAATTCAAAGTGTGCTGCTTTTTACTCACTGGGTCTCACGCATTGAGTCCCCGTTCACGCTTTAAGGAACGAAGCGGAAGAAACCGACGTCTTGGAAACTTCTTTTTTCCAAATGCTGTTGCTCTCCCGTCGCTCAGTCTTTCCTTTCCTCCCTCCATGCCTGTCTCCTCGCCTTTCGTATCCTTCTCCTTTCGTCTCGTCTCGTCTCGTCTAGTTCGACGCTTGATATAATCGTCATCGACTCTATTTTTGCGGACTCATAGAAGTAAAGATTTCCGAACATCTTATTTACAAGATACATTGAACATAATTAATTGCATACATTACAAGATAAAGATACATTGAACATAATTAACCGCACATTCAAAGTAAGTCCCACAAATATAATCAGACCTCTGTCTCATCATCCCTGTACGTTTCACCAATCCTTTCCCAAGGTGACGCCTGACCGTGGAGGTCACCAGAAATCCATCAGGTCACCCCACTGGGTCACCTTGCGACGCCGTCGCCAATTCCCGTTCGCCGAACACCACTCGCCGTGGGCCATGATCGTGGCGCACCGGTGACATTTATGGCAAGTTGCTGCGCCAAGGTATGCCGCGGGATTGGTTAGCGCGAATTGGCTGTTCAAGGAACACCGCTCTCCAGCGCTGGC